TTTCGTCTCTGACCCTGCAGCCGTTTTTTATTTTTTCACGTCTGTAACTCTTCAAAGGCCTGTGCGGACTGTTTAACGCAAGGTGCATCAATCTGTGTGATCGATATCAGTTCAGAATGACGGCGCCGGTTTGTGTTTGCTGATGCAACCCTCTGCAGGAGATTGTTACCCTGGCATTAGAGAAGAGTTTTTGAAAATCATAACAGAGGAAAATTTGGCTGGAGCTTTTAAACGTCGACTTCTTTCCCATTTGCGAGGTTTTCTTTTCACGTCTGCGTAATAAACGGGGAAAAGCTAGCATGCGATGCATCTGATGCCTAATTAAAAAGCCATTGTATTATGACCCTAAACTGTTTCAAATCGGCATGCTAACATGTCTTTTTCTTTGATGAATCCAAATGATTTATGCCATATCCCTGTCTGCCGTTGCTTCTTTCGGTTTTAATGGGAAGCACATTAATCAGTGGTAATGCTTTCTGTGTTGCAAATGAAATTGATGTGACATTGTGTCGCCCATATGAAGTAACTCTGTTAGATAAAACTGTTTTTTGTGGCTCTGTAAAGAATTCACTCTCAATATTTAAGAGCTACCTTATGGTTGCATCACAAAGCCAGTAGACCAAACTCATTAATCATTGTTTTGGTTCATTTAATGAGTGTGCATCAGTGTGAGTGAATGCAGTATTCCAGGTTGAACTGGAACTAATTAATTAATTGAATTTTAATTGAATTAATTAAAATAATATTACTGTGAAAAAAATATAAGGGGGGGGGAGTAGTGTTGTGAGTGCTTTGATAAGGTAAGTTAAGGAAAAATGTATACAGGATAATAAAGATAAAATAATACAACGCAAAGTGGAACCACATACTAAGCAGTGCTCATGCTTGGCAAGATGAGATAAGATATACTTTTTGTTTTCCAATGTTTGGACATTTCTTTAACAGCAAACAAGATATTAAACACAACCTTGACAGTTTGCTCAGTAATTAAAATACTATATAACAAAACAAATATTTAAATAAGGTAAGAAAAATGCAGACAAGAGGGGAGCTCAATAAATTGGAAAAAATAGATAAAGAACAACACAAAGGAGCTTAGTAATTAAAAAATATGTAAATAAAATAATTTAGAAAATAGTGAGGAGGGAACTAAAGAGGGAACCCTGCCATAGCAATCACAGAAGTGATGTCAGGTCTCTCTTCTCCCTGGACTCTCCGATACCGCTCCTCCCACCTCCAACACAAAACCAAGAAAAATAAATAAATAACAGGCAGCCTGGGGGACGTCGTCCCAACGTGTCATTCCCCCTTCTATTGAACTGTGACAACACCAAATTGCCACATTTAAGCAGAAGTTCTCCTGGACTTTTAGCCTTTCCACTCCCCAGAGTCATGCTGCTGAGACATACACATCAGAGCTCATTTATTTTGATAGCTAGAGACTAAATGAGTGATTAAACAGGTGAAGCAATTGTTATGGTTATAAAGTGGATATTTTAGAGAGACATATTGCTAAAGAGCCCAATTTGTTCCAGTCCATTTTTAGAGCCAGACTTTTTTTCTACAGGTTATAAAGAATTCAGCCCACACATACATGCATAGAGGCCGCCGCATAGCAGGAGAACTATCCACTCCTCGGTCGTCCTCACTCTATGGGACACTCTCTGTTCCTCTCTACGATCTCTTGTTAGACTAAAAATCAATCCCATCGTGGAGTAGCAGCCCATTTGTCCTTGGCTTTGATAGTGGCGTGGGTCAATAAATGGCACCGCACCGCTTCTCCCTCGTTTGGCCTCCCAGCGAAACCTCTGCTTGGCACAGCAATACTCTGACTGGAGTTCATGATAGATGGCACAGACATGTGAATGGAATCACTAGAGCAAATCAGAGCTACTGGGCACCACTGACATATTTTCTTGCTCTCCCCCTTTTATATCAGGGTAACACATCAAATGCTAAAAGGGCTGCTTATACTGTAAACCACCCAAAAGCTGTTTGCAGGGGCTTTTGTTACCCTCTAGGAATACACAGGTTGCTACACAAGAGAATAACCAGCTCCCAGTTTGGATTCTGGAGACTGACACTCTGTACTCTCAGGATTAGGCTTAAAACTTTCCTTTTTAATAAGAAGTTCCTGTTAAGGGAGTTTTTCCTTTCTGCTGTCTCCAAGGGCTTGCTTAGCAAGTAGTATGATTTTTGCCGTTTCCTTCAATAATTGTAGGGTCTTTACCTCCAAATGTGTATATATATATGTATACATATGTGTGATTAAATATGACAGATAATCATTTTGGTCATAGCAGGATAGCTGTAGTACCATTTATGTTGGTAGACTTTTATTTTATTTATTTTACTTTGTGCAATCTACACATGTAAAGAAATTTATGGGCCCAACTAGTGGCCACATAACCCTGCACAATGATGCTTTGAGCAACATGAGGGGATCACTCCACGTAATCCCATCATGTTTAAAGGAGCTGGACCAGAGTCCATCCTGTCAACGTTTGTATTTAAATGACAGCTCTAGACGAGTCGTTTGGCTCAAAATCTTTTCCCATCTGTGCTGCTGTCCATCTCCAGGTTTATCTGAACAGTGTTGTGCAGGTTTTCATGCTTCTGTAGCTACAATTAAGTAGGGCTGTTCGATAACGATATAAAAAGGTCTATCGTCTCATTTTATGCTATCGTTTGTTTCGTGGTGTTGCAAAATAAACTGTTTACTGCAATATTTTTTCATCGTTTTGATGATCACCGTAGTGGCTCTATTAATTTCTTAAAGTTCTCTCTTTCTCTTATATTTAATATAACCACACTACCAACGGACAAGCGACTGTTGTGGTTAGCAACAACTACGGTAAAACCATCGCGTGTCCGCTTGTTTATCTTCCACATAAACCTTTCACAATAAAGCTCAAGATCCTGTTGAGACTTTTCAAAATAAACGTAATCA